AAAAATTAAAAAAAAAAAAAAGAAAGAACCTTGGCAAGTCACAGATATTAAACACAAGTTAAATATCAAAAAATCACATAAGGCAAGGTGGGACAATTTGAACATCAATGAGAATAACTGCAGTAGAATAAAATATATAGTAACATTTATAAGTCTGTAATGATTCTAAAACAATCAAGGATTTCTCTTGTCCCTCCCATTACTCTTTGTGGGCAAATAGCTGACGAATGAATGTTCTTCCTTACAGAAGGCTGCCAGACAATACACGAACAAGGAATGATGAAAGAAATAATATTAATGTTTTGCCATTGGAGAAATGGATCAAGATAATAATATCAGTGATTCTGTGAAGCTATTCAGTGACTGGTTGGTGGCAAACCTTTCAACAAATGGGTCCACCTGCCAATATTTGAAACCACTTAACAGCCTTAACATACCCTAACCAAGTACGGTTGTGCCTTACAAGAGGAAAAAAAAGGAATTATTTAGTACAATTTGTAAGATATTCATATCCAGAAATGGAACTTAGTTCTTATTTAAGCTTCTAAATTAACTACATTGTATAGGAAACATGAGGAAAGAGGGACATGTTAACATCATGAAAATGCAGTTAGCAAAATCCAAAATGTAAGAAACACTGCAAAGCAATCCACTATCCTCAGAAAGTAAACTGTAAGAAAATAGTTAGAAAGGCAATCCTTCATAGAAAAAGCTATGAGAAATACTAAATGTTGTGTGTAGATTTCCTAAAATCTTGCTTGTCCAAGTAATAGGATTTTTTTTTTAATGTGGAAGAACTACAAAAATGCAAAAACTGCCTTTCAAACTAAAAAATGAATTGTTTTTTTTTTTTTTTTGCCAGTACTTGTAAAGCATTTCCAGATGAAATGATATGTCTATGATTTGATTCTAAATAATCTGTTGGCAGAAAAGTCCACAGGGCTACTCATGGAATAAGACTGGCTATGAGTTGTTAATTGCTGAAACTGACGAGGAAGTAGAGATTAGTTTTTGTATAAGTAGAGATTAATTTTTGTATAATACAATACTGTAGGGTATTAGTCTTTTGAAAACCACTGTGCTTTTCAAAATGAATAGATCATTTTTGAAATAGAATCTCCTAAATTTGAAATATAAGCTGCCCTACTTTCAATGTTCCTGTATTTGCAATATGTGTAATACTTTGAGCAGGAGGAAAGTGAGCCCTGGAAAGACATGTCTCTTCCAGTTAGGATCTGTTTTCTGAGAGATTATTTCTGATCTGATTTCCTCCATAGCCTCATGGATTTGTTTCTTTACTTCAGTTACTGTCATTTCAGAAATTTCAGGTGTGTGTCTTCCACTTTGTCTCTTGATTTGTGCTGGGTGGACTGGATGTTTTTGAGATTGCACCTTGCTTCTGTGCCTTGCCATTTTGTATTTCAAAATTTTTAGTTTGTTTTCTGTGTTGACACTTGAAAGTTTTTGTACTAGGTAGCTTTATCACTAACATTAAGTCTTCTCTAGGAAAAGTCTGTTCCTTGGGTATCTTCTGTGCATCGGAAGTTCTTGGCTTGTGTCTGTGCCGAGGTCCTACCTTCCCAGCTAACTAACAGTGAGGCGTTTTATCCACTTGGCTCATCCCCAGTCCTTTGTTGCTGGGCTGTTGATGAGGCTATTACCCCAGAGCTTCCCAGTATTGTTACAGAAGGGAGAACAGCTGATGGCAACAGTCGTGACATCCCAAAGTACTGTAATTAGCAATAACAATAGCATAAAGTGCAGTTCAGAAACTGACAAACTGCAGTAGCTATTAATTTTGCACCTTAAACCATAGGAGCAGAATATACAATTATGTAACAGAACTAGTCGTAAACTTGGAGCTTATATTCAAAGTGTTTCCCCTGGATAATGTGGATTTATCTGGTGGTCAGGAGATTTAGGAAGGATAGCGGATAGAACAGAGATGGCTGGAAAGAAAGTAGAAACATGGCGGGAGGAGAGGATGGTCACGCGCACTTCAGGAAATTAGAGGAGATAATGGAGGAAAAGGAATGAGGGTGTAAGCGAAGGGTTATCTGAGCTTTGTCTGGGGGATGGGATTAGATTTCTGTGGCTGGAGTTCTCCCCAACCATTTAGAAAAGAACCAACAGAAACAAAACAAAACAAAATGCAAACAAACAAACAACAACCCCTCTGGCTGGCCAAATAGCTAAGCAGATTAAAGCACCTGCAAGCAGGCATAGGGGCCAGGGTTTTGATCCCCTGGCCCAGGGTACATGGAGATGGCAGTTGAGACTGGGCGTGGTGGCGCACCTGTAATCCCAGCTCTTGGGAGGCTGTAAACAGGTGGATCACTACGAGTCTGATCTAGTTGTGAGACCCTGAACACCCTGTAGATCCTTCCCTAAAGAGAGAGAGAGAGAGAGAGAGAGAGAGAGAGAGAGAGAGAGAAAACGCGGCCCCATCTACCTGCTTCTATTCTGGGCGTCTTTGCCCCAAGCACAAGGCAGGTTATCCTAACTTACCGCCTGTTGGCTTGTGTTGTTGTTGCATCAGACTTTTCGCACCTGTCCCTCCTGGGTGCCCTAGCTGGGACCCTCCTGTGTCGCCAGCATGCCTCCTGTCCCTGGGCTTTCCGTGCAGTTCATCTCAGTCCAGGGAGCAGCGAGGGGAGGGGCCTCTCTGAGCCTTCTCTGACTCACCTGGCTCACAGAGGCCGCATTGTGGTCTTCGTATCATTTTGGAGGTCAGGGGCTAATTTTTCTTACTTCCTGGCCAGGTCAGTGAAGGGTTGATACTGTACCAGCACACGGATCAGGAGAACGCCGCCTGGACCATGCAAGATTCCTTCACGTTTGTAGCATCCTCTCCACCTGCAGCAGTTCTAGGCCCTGAGGAATTCTTTATTACCATTTCATATGAAATTAATGAGCCTGGTCGCCACAGCCATCTGCTCGCAAATACAGGTAATGCTGCTATGAAGTGGTGAGCGCTTTCTCTCTATTCAGGTGGGAACAACTTGGAAATAAAGCCTTCCCTTTTTGCTAATGTCATTATAATAACCTCTGAAATAAAACTGAACAGTTATGAGGAACTGTCCTTTGTATGCCCCCCTTTTCTGGGCCTTTTCTCTTTCCTCTTGTAAGTTTAATGGTTGTATTGGGAAAAGAATTATAATTTGGGTTTCAAGAATTTTCTTTATATCTCCAAATGGGTGCTTGACCATGCTTACAACTGATCATTCTTGACAGAAAGTGAAAAAATGCCAAATATGGCAAGTTCTTGAAAGGAAAAGGGTATTGAAAGTTGCACCTGTTTTCAAGGCAAGAGAAAGCCTAGAAATAGCTAAGTTGGGAAATTAAATTATAAGCGAATCTGAAGGATTTAAAGTGCACTTGCCTGAAATGTTGACTTAATCGTGTGTGTGCTTGTATTTAATTCTGTTTTCATATTCAATGGATGGCAGTGCTAATTCAGGTACCCAAGCACCTGAAGCCCTTAGAGGAATCCACTAGGAGAGGCAGATATGAGGGAGAAAGCCTTGCTGAAACTGTCATCTGAATGCGCTAATGAAATGCCACTCATTCTTCATGTTTGTGTGTCACCAGGAGCTGCCGTCAAGGAGGGAGACAAAGTCCTAATTGACCGATCGAAGTTAGATGCTTCCAATCTCTTATTTAAATTACCCAAATCTCAGCGCTCTTCCTATGAAGTTTGGTTCCAGGTTCTATCTCTTCCCCACCATGGAACTATCATGGTGGGAGAAAGAAACATTACTGCAGAAAAACCCAATTTCTCCCAGTTTATCATTAATAAATTTGGAGTGACATACCTTCACGATGACTCTGAATCACTGACGGATAATTTTACCTTTGCTGCTTGGCCAAACAAAAAAAGCACATCTGCCACCAAGCCAGAAGCTGGTTTTCTTGAGGAGCTGTTTAACATCACCATCGCTCCTGTGAATGACCAGGCACCAGAATTAAAGACCAAAGGACTTCGGTTGCAAGTGCGGCAGGGCAACAGTTTGGTTGTGAGACCTGAGATCCTGAAAGTGGAGGATCCGGACAGTCCTCCAGATGAGATCAGATACACGATCATCCGTCACCCCAATAATGGCTTTTTGTCACTGGCTAACCATTCAACTGAACCTTTTCACCAGTTTACACAAGCCGACGTTGATAGCCATCAAGTGTGGTTCACACAAGACGGAAGCCCATCCTCTGGAGTGTTCTACTTTAGTGTGACTGATGGCAAACACCGTCCTCTCTACAAGCTCTTCCACCTGGACGTCGTCCCCACCTCCATCGCCCTTGTGAACCTCTCTGACCTATGTCTCCCACAAGGCCAGACAGCTGTCACTGTCACCAGTGCTCACCTGTTGGCAGTTACCAATGGACGGAGCCCCCAGATCACATACAGGATAACAGGCCCCCCCCAGCACGGGCATCTGCTGCTTGAGAACCAGGTGGTCACCAGCTTTGGCCAGGAGGACGTGGACTCAGGAAGGCTGTCTTACCATATGACAGATCTCACAGCTGCGGAAGACCAGCTGCAGTTCTCAGTGTTCACATCAGAAAGCAACCTGACAGGGCAAAGGCTGGGCATCCGTGTACAACCTCAGTTGCGGGTTGCATCCGAGCTGAAAGTGACCAACAGAGTGGCTCATCAGCTGAGAAGAGAGGACCTTGATGCAAGCGAGCTTGCTAATATCACTAATAGCGACCCCACATTTGAGGTGACAGAACCCCCTGTCCACGGGAGGCTTGTGCGACGAGTGGTTCACAGTATGACAATGGATGATGCCAGGCTGTTCACACAGAAGGATGTTGACCAAGGACTGTTGGTTCTTGATGTGCTCGTGAATCTCACAGGTACTGATGCACTGAACGACTCCTTCACCTTCCTGCTCAGGGCGGACTACGTACAGCCAGCGATAGGGCATCTCCCCTTTACCATAGTGCCTCGTGACCCCTTGCTGTTGCAGACTTTTACACCAGCTGTTCCGCCGGTCACTGGAGAGAACCATATGAGATCAGTTTTCTCACCCCAAAAGCCTATAGTTTCTTCAGGATTCACAACACAAACAGAAATGCAGGGGAGGCTGACCCAGGCCAGGTGGAAGGGCACAGATTCCTGGGAACCACGCAGTGATGTGGAGCCACATGTGGACAGCACAGTTTCTCCCATGGGGGTCATGTGGCCACCAGCTGCTGCCAAAGTCAGCCCCAGGGCACCCAGTCAGCCTAGAGAGAGCAACTACCCACTGGTGGTCACCATACCCTTGGCTGTGGCATTCTTCCTGCTGATAGTTATTTTGGTGACTTTGTGTATCTGGCTGCTGGGCCGGAAAGAAGAAAAACCAAAGCCGCTTATTAACCTCAATGCCAACCTAGAACCCATAACCCCAAGTTATGAGCCAGAAAGAAGCACAACTGTTCCCTCTGTCACGGTGACGCCTCTTATCCAAAGCTCCAGGTGCCCCCCGGCTAGTCTGTTCAAGGCTCTACAGTGTGAGGAAACATTCCCCACAATGACTGAACCAGTAGGAAAGTGTGCCCCTTGGGAGAGCTGGGGGAACCTGGATCCCAACATGGTCAGGCTCTGCCGACAAACCCACCCCACCCTGAAACACAACCAGTACTGGGTGTAGATGGAGGGCGGGCACGTCTGTTGCCAGCTGATTTTTGTAAGTATGAGAAGAGTCATTGGGAAACAATGGCCAAACACAGTGTTGGTTGAATTAAAAAAGCAAAACAAAACCAAAAAAAGGCTGGCTGTGGTCAACACTCAGTGCCCAGGGATAGCCCCAGAAGAGATGGGTAGGTGTTCATTGTAGCTTCTGCGTAGCTCTCATGAGCTTCCGTAGTAGGCCTTCCTCCACCAATGCCTTCTTTTGGACTTCACTTTTATAGTATATACATTGTTGTTGATTTTCAAACCCCTCTCCAAGGAGCTTCTGAATATGTTTGCCCCACTGTAAGAGCAGTCATTACACGGATGTAGAGGCCATTGAGGAAGGGCTTAGATCTATCTCATTGAGAATTCTGAGTCAGCAGGAAGGGTAGGAACTGTTTGAGCCATCACATTGGTGTGTCTGGGTAATGTCTGGTGTTTTCTCCCTAAGAGTCTCAGGATTTAGTTTCCCAACCCTGGAAATGCCTTGTTGGTTGCAGGACAGTTAGATTGGCCTGGAAGATACTCACGAGACTAACAGTAATGCCTCAGTGTGGTTCACAAACAAAAACACGTGGCAAAATTTTGCTTCCGTTTGCAGACTCCACCCTGGATGACAGACACGGGCACGGCTATCTCCCCCACACAAACGGAAGTGCAGCCACCTTCCCTCAGAACATAAAACAAACTAAATTCACAAGCCAAGGTACCACTGCGTTGTGTTCCACCAAGAAGCTTCATTCTGATTTGTAAAGTCAAGCTTAGTACACCAAAAATATTTAAAGAGCTAGATGATAGAACTTTTGTTAAATGCTTTTTGATGTCTCAATTTAGCTTTGCTTTACAACAAATTGAAATAAAGCCCAATTTGTATTTGAGTTGCCTCATTTTACCCACCATTACCCAGCTCCAGCGTCAGTGTCTATAATTATAAAATGAGGATATTGGTACTTCCATTAGGAAATCTTTGGGCAGCAAATCACAAGACATCCATGGGAGTGGCTTGGGCGAGGGGCTTGTCAACTTTTTCTAGAAAGAGTAAGATGATAAAGCTTTTAGATTTTGTGGGCCACTGATGGTCTCTGTCAGTCATTCTTAATTTTTCTTTTTTAATAGTCTGAAAAATGTACTGTCACATTGCAATTTTTTCCTCAATAAAATTAATTTAAAAAAGAAAGAAATTTTGAGGCACCTACACATGGAATATGAATAGTGAAACAACCTCTAAATTAAGCTTGAATAAATTTTCTTTACAGAAGTTAATTAATGGAATATAATTAGGAGCAAATCACTTGCTAAATGGTATGTTATTGTAGGGTTAGTTCAAAACATTGAGAGAGAAAATAGTATCAACTATTCTCATCTATTTATGAATAGTCTATGACTTATATGGTAGTATTGTTTATGCAAAGGTTTGCCTCAACAAGCTATGCAAAGATAGCTTAAGGCAGCAGGGAATTAAATACAGAATGGGGTATATGTGCCTTGCACTGGCTTTCTCTATTCTAGAGTCATCAACAATATCCCATATTATTTTACTTGTCACACTCCCTACAACGGCTTGCTATGTGGTCTAGATAGGCCTTGAACTCAGTAAGTGTCTCTCTGGCCTCAAACTGGCTGCAGTTGTCTTGTCTCAGCCTCCTGAGAGCTGGGATTACAGGTATATACTACCACATCTAGCCTCAAAATACTTTTTAAAAAATTTAGTTCTAAGATCTACTGAATTTTTTCCACTTGTTGTGAGACTTCATTCTTTTTATATGGAAAAATCATTGTTAAAATATATTTATCAGATAAACCAACTTTTCTTCTTTGTTTTGTGGCGCCAATCTTACACAAAATCACATCCACAAAAACATGGTTCTTTCTTGGATTTTTGATTTGTTTCTTTTGATCTCTTTTCTAAAGTTTACATTAATATCAGTCATAATTGCAGTAAAATCTTAATAAGTTTTGGTTGCTGACTCAGAAAGTTTTTTCTGTCTCTTCTTCTAGTGTCTTTAGTATTTTGGGAACTTTTATTCTATATACATTTTATAATCAATTTCTGAAAAAGGAACTGCTAGGATTGGGATTATTTAGAGCTTTTCAATAAACTACTTAATTCAATTCAAAAAAGAAAGAAAGAAAAATGTAAAAGCAATTCTTAGTGCTGGAATCTGTCCCGTAGACTGTAGTTTGCCATCTCTGCTCTAGGCAGGAAAGTGTTATCTCAGTTATTGTTACAGTTTGTGTCTAGTTGTCCCGCCAAAGCCTCACGCAGTCTTGAGGCAGCTTCTGGAGTTTGCAACTGATTGTTGTGGGTGTGGATGCTGCACCTGCCTGGTAATTTGCATTACAGTGTGAGGAGGGCAGAGAGGCTAGCCAGCTGCCTGAGCACCTCAGAGAAAGGTTGCTCTGTGCTGCTCTCTGCCTTGGAGCCAGCTGAGTGTGGACTGAAACCTCCAGTAACTGCGAGCTAGATAACCCTTTCCTTCCTTCATCTTGGGTGCTGGGTATTTGTCCCAGCAATGTGAGCAGAGGAACTGAGACAGGGAGCATTGTGAAGGTAGAAGTTCCAGGCTGCTGGAGCAGTTCCAGGTTGTCATCCTGAGACCGAAGCTCTTGTTCTCCTTGCTTTTCCTTGCTCGAGCTGTATCTTTGCCTAATTTTGTTCAACTCTCTGTGATGTGGATTGTGATTGGCAACACAGCTCCAAACAAGATAGCCACATTTAAGACAGAAATTGCAGTGGAGAAAAAAAAAGATGTGCCCAAATGGCTTTCTCTTTGAGAGACTCCTTCTTCT